AGCTGATACCAAGGGCTCAAATAGAAAGAAAATGTTTTGAAAATGATGATGGCAACAAATGTACAAATGTGCTTTGACACAAAGAATGTATGTATGGATTGTGATGAGCTGTACGAGCCCCCCAATAAAATGATTAAAATATATTATTTTTTTAAAAAACAGCCTTGTCCTTATGGAGCTTATACTCTAGTTAAAGTCACTATTGTCCCCATTCCATCACTATAGAGACTGAATTCAGAATCATATATCTGGTAAGTAGAAGCGCCTGAATGAACCTAACCAAATCTGACTCCCAGACACTGTGTCAAACAAGGCCAGACCTCAGTCAGATATACTCCTTGACTCTGACAGCGAACATGAGTCTCCTGCTGAAACTCCCAGACTCTAATCCTGCCCCCCTTACTATCCCTCCTCTGCATGTCCTCACCCAGTGTGGTCTTTAAAAGGTAAATCTGGGAATACAACACTTGGGTCTATATCTGACCCAGTTCTCCCAGTGTAGACCAGAGTTCTCTGCCTGCCTTGAATGGCATCACAATGACCTGGAATGCATATGAGGAGCAGAATCTCAAGACCCAACACAGGCAGTCTCATCCGGAATTGACTCAGTGCCCCAAAGAATCTGCATTGAACGGGTGCCCGTCGTTCTAGCATACTTGGAGAAATGCTGGCCACACGATTGTGCCCAGCTCCCTTAACCACGGTCCATATGGTCGGTGATGCCTATGTCCTCAGTCTTGTCTCCTACCCATTCTCTCCTCTTCAAACTCTCTAGCTCTTCCTCTTCAGTGTCCCTCATTTCCGTAACTTGCCCAGGCTAATCCCGCCATGCCTGTGCAACTCTCTTCCTTCTGTTAGAACTTGTTCTTACACCTTCCAGAATCCGGTTAACTTTCCCCGCTTGGCTCAAAAGTCATCTTCTTTAAGGAACCTTACCAGCTATTGTTCTATGCGCCCATTATGCCCAGAAGACTTTTTGGCATAGGATGTAAGTCCCTTGAAGCC